TGAAAAGAATGGGTTTGAGAGTCAGATATCCATTTTACAGAGGGAAAATAATAACAAATAATCTCTATGCTTACTATGGTTTAACTGGACTCCTTGCACATGGTTATCTCATTAAACAACCAAACTGAAAAAATTGTAAGATTCAGAAATTGCTGAAAGAATCAAATTACTGACTGTAGATTTAGAAAGTCTGCTTTCTTAAGCCTTTATTAAACTGTTGAATGAGGTATTTTTTGTTTGTTTATTTTGCTAGAAGGTGGGTGTGCTTGCCAGAGAAGGGAAAGTGAAAAAGCACTGCCCAGAGGAAGGATGGCCATGCAGCAATCCTTTCTCCTCCATTTCTCCTTTTGGGATTTTGGGCATACATGTACGTGTTCCTGGTGTGTGTGTGTGTGTGTTTTTCCTGGTGTTTTTTTTCCCCACATTATTTATTATTTGTTTTTTGTATATACTTTCAATCATATTGTTTGACTTACAATGAGACCATTTCCATATGTGCACATTTCTCCCCAGACCCGTTGATCAAAATATCTTTAACAGATAACACCACACCTCCTCATCTGGTCAATGCTCTACCTCTGTATCCCTTCTCCAAATGTCCTTCGTTAGTCCCCACTTCTCCACATACACCTCGTCTGACATTCACACCCATCTCTTGTGTTTGTTCAACCATTAGTCAATCAGTTTCAGTCATAGAATGCAGACATACGGTATATGTTAAGTGGGGACATACAACTGGTGTGTTTTTCAAGGCACCAGGTCCAGTGCAATTGGCCATGGGGGATCCAAGTGCCTTAACCACTATGCCACTGGCTGGCTCAAATGAAAGCTTTTTTTTTTTTTTAAGTATGTCTTCCGATTTCCTCTTTATGAAAGGATAACTTACCTTATGCACATACTATGTATGTTCTTTCTGAGGCAGAACCTTAAACCCAAATTACTTTAGTAAATCAACAAAATTTTATTCTTGGGTCTTGTGGGAGGCACTGTATTGATTGGTTTGGTTTGAGTAGGTCCTCAGCTTCTGTGTGGCCAAGTGGAAGGAAAATTTGTGCGTCTTGAGGAACAGGTTTAGACAGTTTTCAAGGTCTGCTCTAAACCCGAGATTGGTGTGGGTCCACTGAGGAGAAAACCAGTATATCTGATAATAGATTAATGCACAGAACTAGAATGTGATGCAAAGTAGTAGAGGCAGATGACCTCCACAAATACCTTCTCTGTCTTTGGCCTGGTGTGTAGAACATGGTCTCTATGATAGTTATTTTTCCTTCATTCCCCACCACCCATCACTTATTTACTCAAAATCAGTACATGCTAAAAATAGATCTTTTGTTGGATATGTAGAGAGGAATAGTGTTATAAAGATGTCTCCGAGTATGAACATACAGTGGGCCTGTGGCCCACTAGGTCACCTGCATTTGCCTTACTCATCCTGACCATAGCACAACTTGGCTACAGATGAGAGATGAGCTTGTTTCTGAGATTGAACTGGTAAAAAAATGCCTCATTTCCCAGTATGAAAAAGCCACATACGATTTACTTCTGAAAAAATTGAGCATTTGGCTATATGAAAACTTGAGAATTTTAACAACTCCCTCAAATCCAGCCCTTTATTACACTGATTTATTTAGAAACCTTAAGGTTAATAATACAGATATGTCCAAGTATAAGTATATTCTATATACATAAAGGAATATTAAATATTCAAAATATCCTTTTTAGCAGAATTAGAAGTTTAGTAGTTGAACATAGCAAAAAAACAAAGAAAAATGCACAACAGCCTGTTAAGTCTCACATTTCTTTTTGTCAAATTGTCACAAAAGCATATGTGATCAGTGATCTTTTAGAACTGTAAGCCCAAGACTCTCTTAGGCCAAAATAAGAAAATTCAATTTTTATAGTTTCAAGAAACTTCTAAAAAAAAAAAAAAAAAAAAACCTATGTCATCCTATGAAAAGCAGTATTTTCATAATTCAGCCAAAGGAAAAATATACTCAAATGAAAAAATAGGCTGTGGACTGGAATTGATTTAAGGGCTATTAAAAAGCCTCCACCAGGGGCCAGAAGGTGGCATGGTGGGTAAAGTGCTGGACATGGCTGACTTCAGTTCAAGTCCCTGACCTGGCTGCTTGAAATTCACACTAGGTGTGTGTGCATGTGTGTGTGTGTGTGTGTGTGTGTGTGTACACAAAATCCCTAGAGAAGACTGGAGGAAAAGTGACTGTGGCATGCCTATTCTCCCTGAGGGTGATTTCTCATTTTCCCTCTCTGTCTCTCCAGCAGGTGCACCTATGGCAAAAACAAAACAAACAAAAAACCTTTACCAATTTAAGTCAGTAAGCCAGTAAGGTAAAACTGGTAATCAGCTATTTGGTTAGCAACAAATAAAGAGAAAAGACCTAATCCATAGAAAATGGGAAAATGTTGAATATGAATTAATTTATACAAGTTACCTAAGGCCAAATGGAAGTTATAGTAATTTCTCCCTTAAAAGCTAATATTAAAGTGTACCAGTTAATTGAGACTAAATATGGGGAAATAAAATCAAACATTTGTCCATGATAATGGAGCTGTTTATAAGGGACTGAGTTTGAAAATCAATAGCAAGATATCTTTCATTACTGAAAATGACTATTCTTTTGTAAGTAATGGCAGCTTTTTACATTACTTTAATGATAAAAAATACAAAATGCATTTGGGACAGAGAAACACACACAAATCCTTATATATATCGGGGGGAAGGTAAAATGTAATTCCTGAGACAGATGGACCTCGGATCTGATCTTATCAAGAAGTTCTTATAGTCTTTTTTTTTTTTTTTTCCCCCCCGTCCTGGAATTTAATTCAACAAAGTTTCTAAAACAATCAGAAAACTCAGGTGGAATCAAAGTCACTTAGGAATAGCCCCAGGCTGGTGGGAAATGAACTTCTTCAGTCCCAGGTTCATTGAGGCACTTTTAACAAACCAAACCAGTAACTGCATTAACAAAACACATTTGTCAAAAAGTAAGATCAAAGATGTGATCAGACCCATCTCACTAAGAACCAACCCAGACATGAGACAGACAACAGCACAATACACCCTATACAAGAAAAGAGGTGCCCAGAGCTACTCAGAAATGTTTTTTTCCCATAGACTTTTTATTTCTTTTACTGAGTCTGATTTGCCTTTCTTTTTTTAAAGGTGCTAGTTTTCATTCTATGTTCCACAGGCCCTTGAAAGTCCAGTATATTTCTTTAAAAGGTTCTTTAAAAACAGTTTGGGATTATCCAGTGTGCCTCGCTGCTGGTATTTTCAGTACCCAAAGAGCATGGATATAATCGCAGAACATTCCACGCCTCTCCAATGGTCTGAGAAGCTGTAATGCAGTTATCTGATACACTAGTGGCTGGTGACAATGCAGCAGAGGCTGACAGCATCAATATTTTACGGCATGTGTCAGCGACTTATTTGGAGTGATGTGTGGTGTGGGAAGAGAGCAAGCTGCATAAAAAGTGATGCTTCTATGTCAGTTTTCAAGTGGTAGGCCCATCAGAAGGTCATGTTGGACTCCATAATAACAGGAATATTCTCATATGGTGAATCATATGGTTTAAAACCAATGAATGTACATAAATAAGGCACTAAGTTAGTGTTAGTGACATAGAACTTCAAAATATAGTCTCAAATTGTGTTTGTTTTTCTTTTTCCTCTTGGGAAATTCCTGGAATGCTTATGGGGGAGATGGCATGCCACAGCAAACAGGGCTCTGCTGCTGGTGGTACACAACAGAAAACCCTGGGACACAGTTCCTCATGCTACCATTTAGAAGGGCTGAGAAGGAAATGGCAATACCGATTTTTTTCATAAAGGACGACCTTCTCTTTTCCTACCACATGCAAAAAATAATGACAATGAAAGGGCTCTGTTGCACTGGCTGTGGACAATTATTCCAGGAGACACCTTGAGAACTAACAAGAAAGCAACCTTTTTTTTTTTTTTTTTTTTTTTTTCTCCCTTTAGGTGTCTTTTTCAAACACAACCCAAGTTGTTTATGTTCATGGGTGAACTTGGTATGCTTATTTATCTCCATCTCTTCTCTTAGCTTTATATTTTTAATTATTACCAAAGCCACTCTACTGTGATGAATTGCAAGATAACTTCCAACTCAAATAAGAACTGAGTATTGAATATATAGTAAGTATTTAGTCTCATGGACTGGCTGTTATTGAGGAAGAATTTTGTTGACAATTTGCCAATCAGTCATAACACATGCTATCTTTACCCCATCCAATCCAGCTCTCTTGGTTGACTGATTAAACATACTGTGAAGCGGGACCAGCAGTTGGTGCAACGGCTATGTCGATGAACTCCCACATAGTTGACTGCAGTTCGAATTCCAGACCCAATGGCTTAAACTCACGTTGGGTGCAAGTTTGTGTGCCCAAGATCCAGAGAGGAGAATGGAGGAGAAGGGATTGCGGCATGGCCATCCCCCCTGGGGGGTGATTTCTCGCTTTCTGTCTCTCTCCTTCTGGAGAGCGCATGCGCCCTATAGCAAAAATCTCTTCAAAAACAAATATACAGCAAAGCAATACTTCGAAACAGTAAGAAAGGAAGTTATGACCTAACTGGGTGATCAATAATAGCCATTCTATTGGGTTGTGGGAAAAGTTATGACACACTTTTTTCTATGAAAAATTGCATCATGACTTTTCTGACAGCCCTAAACACACAGTGAATCTGTTGGATAAGATTCATAGATTCTGGGGCCAGCAGTTAGCGTAATGCTGGATTCCCAGGTAGTCATCCACTGTTTGAGTCCCGGACCTGGTAGCTTGAACTCAGGCCAGGCACATGTGCGTGTCTGCCGAAGATCCCGAGAGGAGAATGGAGGAGAAGGGATTGCAGTGTGGCCATCCACCCTGGGGGGTGATTTCTCGCTTTCTGTCTCTCTGTCTCTCTCTGTCTTTCTGGCGAGCACACAGCTCTCTATAGCAAAAACCTCTCCAAAAAAAAAAAAAATTCATAGATTCTTCTTATCATTATTTTTGGCATATTAAAAAATCAAGCCTGTCCACATGAAAACAATAATTGAGATTTCTTGTCTTTGTTCTGAAACAGATGAATATGTGGTTCTAAAGAATAGTCCCTAGCACAATCCCAATGAAATGTCAACAATCCAGATCTCCACCAGGGTGCTTGTCTTTGTGTTCTTCATCTACATTTGCTGCTGGAAGCTGTGGATTTGTCTTCCTCTGGGTTCTTGGGGAGGATTGATTCTCTCAGGATACCACAAAGATTATTTCAAGAAAAAGATTATATATTATAATGCTTAGCATTTATATAGGTTCTTTTGATTTCAAAACAAGTTATAAATATTTCCTACCATGACAACATCCTTGCGAGGTAGGTGAATATTACTGTCTCTACATTACCAATAGAAACCCAAGGCTAAAGAGTGAAGGACTCTGTTCTGAGCCAGAGAGTCAGAAGTAGCAATGGGACCAGGCATCCCAATCAACTGCTCTGGGCTCTGAGGAGGCCATGCGTCTCTCTTGTGTAGCAATAGTCTCTATTAATATAGGGCTATATATTGTATAGATATAAAACCACAACACACAGTGACATTATAGAACAATAATCCAATATTTCTGTTTCTTAGTAAAATATGTTAAGCAGAGTATTTAAATTGCATTTCTCTGAAAAGCATTTGGTATATTAAATAGCAGAAGGTATATTAAATAGCTCTATAAACGTTTGCTGGCATACTCTTCTCAGCGTAATGACTCTAAAGAAGTTAAAATCCACTGACGCGTAGAGATCTTTCCTTTATAATACCATAAAACTAAACAGAAATGTGAAAAACTACTTTATCCTCAAAATGCAGACTTAATAGCTTGCTGGATATTAGCAGGTGGCTACATTATTTTTCTGATCTTGAGAGGAAAGATACGTACTGCTGGCTGTGATTTTAAAATACCAATTTGGTAGGGGGAAATGCAGTTGAAAGGGGAAAATTAAAGACTGCTGTTTCCATTTTGTATCCATTCTGAGGGATTCCTACATTTTTGGAAGACGTTATCATACTTGGAACTAATGTTGAGGTGAATATAAGGGCACCTATACAACTGGGATATTTTCTGAAAAGAGAAAATGATGTTACATAGAACTTAGAGTATTAGGAAGCGAAAAGGAATTTTTCAGGAGTGTTGAAGGCTGACATGAGATGTAAGCTATACCTCCCGGATGGCCGTATAGGTCTTGGAGATGGCTTACAAGGAAGTTGCTTGGTTTTATCAGTTTCTTTGCTGGGTGGAATCCTCACCTTCCTCTCTTAATCAGCAGTTCTCAGAATGGCATTACAGGGCTCACCTCATGCTAAGCTTCCTAAGAGCTGACCAGCTAGGTCAGCAGAAAAAGGCCGAAAACTAGAAAGAAACAGGAATCAGTCTTAAAATTTGTATGCAAACAAAAAAATTAACTTCTAAGTTGAATGACATTCTGTCAGAAGTAACAAATACAAAAGTCTTAAATTTAGTGTACACGGTGCCAAGATATTAGACAGATCTTACATGTCATTCAGAGAACATTTTTTATAAGTGTGCTTTTTCCCTAAAAAAAAAAATTGGTCTCTCCTCCAGTTCCTTTACATGGAAATATGAAATACAGAGCTGTCCGGCAGTTTGTCCATCTGCATCACACACTCAGGGGCTCCTTCGTGCTCACGTTGTATGTGGCAGCTTTATTTGAGGGAGGTCTGAGGGTGAACAGGCTTGAGCAGTTCGGCTGTTTGGTTGGCTGTAAGGTTTTGGCATAAGGTGAATACCAGTCCCTTTCAAACACATCTTTCAGTTGCTTAATGATGCTCCTGTTGTTCCTCACATCAGCCTGGTTGATAACAAGGCCCGTGCCAGCATTCTGGATAAAATCATTCCCTACCCAATCAAAATTTCCTGTAAATGAACAAAGACATAATGGTGAAGAGTTAGAGTCTACTGGGAATATTCTCAATATAGTGAAATAGAGTGGATTCTATTTTTAAAAATCATAAGTTAAATACCCAGAAATGACAGAGGCTGAATTGTTTTGACAGATCCAAAATGAAAAAAAAAATTCAAGAAGCCTTACATATGGCATATTAATATTTGCATATTATTTTGGCATTTTCCTCAGCTTTGCTCATATTGAAACTCAAAACAAGGACTCTGCTGTTCTCTTTGGTAAATGTTATTTCTTATTGATATTCACAAGACACACTAAATACAGCAACATTTAAAATATATAGGAATACACTTAAAAATCCTGTGAACAATTACCTTCTCAAAGAGACAACATCTAATCCATATGTATAAATAAGAGATTATAATTATAATATTCAGTTGCTTTCACATCAGAGAAAAAGCTAAAGCCAGAGAAATAGAACCAGTTTTGGAGGACATGAACACTCCTTGATAGGTCAGTAAGTCCTTTCCACTCCCAGGATCAGGTGCCTCAGCTCAGGAATACTGTGAGAACAAGCTCCCAGATGTGATTGATTACCTGGCACTAAGTAGTGCTTTAGTCTTCTATGACTGCTAAAACAAAGTACCACAGACTGGCTGGTTTAAAGAACAGGAATTTATTGTCTCAGCTCTGGAAAAGAAAATCAAGGTGGCAACAGGGTTGCATCCCTCTGAGGACTATGAAGATCTGTCCAGGCTTCTTTCTGACATAGCCATGTTCTCTCAGTTTCACTTCATGTCATTCTCTCTCTATGCAGGCCAGTGTGCAAGTTTCCCTTTGTATAAGGACATTAGTCATATTAGTGTAGGCCCTGCACTAATGACTTCATTTTAATCTGATTATTTCTGTAAAGGCCCTATCTCCAATCAGGTCACATCTAGAGTACTGTGGTTAAGGGACCAGCAGTTAGTATAATGGCTATGTCACTGGACTCCCATGTAGTTGACCATGGTTCGAGTCCTGGACCCAGTGGTTTAAACTCATGCCAGGTGTGTGTGCGTGCATGCCCAAAGTCCCAAGAGGAGAATGGAGGAGAAGGGATTGTGGTGTGGCCATCCCCCCTGGGGGGTGATTTCTTGCTTTTTGTCTCTCTGTCTCTCTTTGTCTCTCTGGTGAGCTCACGTGCCCTATAGCAAAAACCTCTCTCAAAATACTGCGGTTAAGACTTCAACATATGAGGCCAGCAGGTGGCATGGTGGTTAAGGCTCTGGACTCCCACATAGCCGTCTGTGGTTTGAGCCCCGCATCTGGTGGCTTGCTTTCTCACTTTCCTTCCCTTTCTTGTTTGCTCTGTCTCTCTCTCTCTGGTCAAATTAAAAATAATAATAATAAATAAAATAATTATTAAAAATTTTTTTAAAAAACTTCAACATATGAATTTTGGAGGAACACAGCTCAGCTTACATCTCATAGTAAGGCTGAGATCAATCTCAGAAGAGGCTAATAATATCTATGCCATTCATGTGTTACCCATATTCAAGGTGGGAGAAGACAAGAAGTTTGGATTACCCAGAATTCCCAGATAAATCTATGTCTTTAATAACTGATGGAGAGAGGGTTCCAATAGGAGAACAAAGAGAAAGAGCAGTGCTTATTTTTTTAAAATCTTCTTTGTGATTCATTTAATGCATGTTTATTGAGTGCCTAATGTTTACCAAGTACTACTGAGTCTTCAGAAAAGTAATGACACATTTTTGTGTAGAAAAATATGCCATCACTTTTCTGACGATTCAGTATATTAAGGGCTGTGAATATAAAACTGACAATGACAGTCCCTGCCTTCAAAGAGTCCAGAGAGGGAAACACAGTAATTATAATACAAAGGATATGAGATAATACAAAAGATGTATGTCTACAATGCCATAAGAGCAGAGAGAGATTTTTTTTTGAGAGAGATTTTTGCTATAGGGCATGTGTGCTCGCCAGAAAGACAGAGAGAGACAGAGAGACAGAAAGTAAGAAATAATTCCTCAGGGGGGATGGCCACACCACAATCCCTTCTCCTCCATTTTCCTCCCAGGATCTTGGGTGTGCATGCACATGTGCCCGGTGTGAGTTTAAGCCACTGGGTCCAGGACTCAAACCAAAGTAGACTATGCTGGTCCCAAGATTTTTTTTTTCTTTAAGATGGGATATTATCATGTCATGACCCTCTTGCTTCAGCCTCTCAAGTAGCTGGGACTACAGAAATACATCACCATGGCTCTGCCACTTTATGGTGGGTCAGAAATTGAGCCTGGGCATCCAATGTGGCTTTAGCCTGCTAGGTAGGAGCAACTACCAGTGTATACTACTGCAGCTGGACTGGGAAAGAATTTTAAATTCTGGCTAGAGGTGTCAGAAAAGGAACATTTTTGTTGACTAATCATATGTGCATAGTAACTTAATTAGGGAAATATCCATACATCCAAAGGGAGGATGACAGCTTGTAGACAAAAGACATGGTTAAGATATCGGAAGACTGAGGGAAGGAGCTAGGGATGAAGTCAGGGTACAAGTGACTTTGGGGGTAGAGAGCTCATCATTTACTAGGTGCTTACTGTCTGGAAAGCGCTATGCTTGGTGTTCATATATTTATTTCATGCGGTTGGTAGGATTTACCTCTGCTCGGCAGATGAGGAGTGGGAGGCTCAAGAGGTGAATACATTTGTCCAATTTCACATAGCTAATCAGTGGTGCCCCCAGGTCTCAAGACTCTATAAACTGTCTATAATACCATAAACTAAAAATTTCTCACTAAAAAATATTTGGTGATGGGGTGGGGGGGGGCAGCAGATTGCATAATGGTTACATTGCTGGACTCCCATGTAGTTGACTGTGGTTCGAGCCCTGGACCTGGCAACTTGAAACTCATGCTGGGTGCATGTGTGTACATGTCCAAGATCCAGAGAAGAGAATGAAAGAGAGGGGTTGTGGCGTGGCTATACCCCTGAGGGTGATTTCTCGTCTTTTGTCTCTTCAGTCAGTGCATGCACCCTATAGCAGAAATCTCTCTTAAAAAACAAAAAGCAAAAATCTTTCTCTCTAAAAAAATTATATATGTATATATATGTGTGTGTATATGTATTGTGTATGTATATGTGTGTATGTATGCATATATACACATATTTATACACATATATATGTATATATATATATTTCAATCATGTCAAAACTGACAAAATTATTTTATAAATCATCACCAGCCCAGGTCTGAACAAAGACCCCAGTTTTGTTCTCCTGTTTGGTTCAAAGCTAAACTTCAAAATCATGTATATGCTTCAGTATTTTTTTTTTTAAACTGCTATGTAATTTTAACAAGCATTTTTTTGAGATTGCTGATTTAAGTTTCCAAAATGTATCTTGAGGCCCTAGTTGCCAGGAGAATGGTAGCGTCACTCAGGGGAACTGGATGGTGAGGGATGGTGCAGGTGAGCTCACTGGGTAGGGATGGGACTCCTGGGAGCCTTTTGAGTGCCTACAATCAACCTAAACTCTTTGTTAGTCCTCCAATATCTCAAACCATCTTCCAGATAAGTTTGCACAACTTCACTCAAATCTACTCTGGAGAATTCCAATTTTGAAGTGCCACTGTTTGGGGATTCTTCTGTAAGTCTTCTGAAAACTAATGGGAATATAATTCCATGAAAAATTTAGTAAGGATTTTTCTTTTTTTTTAAATTTAATTTCTTTTATACATTCAGTCACTTATGTCAGTTAGCTTACAAAGCGAATGTTCCAACATGAATACATTTCTCACCAGTCCAGTTGGGAATACTATACACATTATCTTCAACAGATAATAACCTATTTCTTTGTCCCATAAATGTCTTGCCTCTCTATTTTTTCCCTTAATATCTTTCCTCAGACTCTCCTCCTTCTCCTACCTTCTTTGCACACTGTATCTGGGATATATAACCATTTTCTGTTTCTGTATCCTCTCGTCATTCAGTTTTGGCCACAGAGTGTGGGCAGTCAGTATATGTTAAGTGGAGACATGCAATGTGTCTCCTTCATAGCCTGGCTTGTTTCACTCACTCAGCAGTAAGTCTTCCATATTCATTCACTTTATGTTGAAAGTCTGGATTGTATTTTTTATTTATTTTTTTTTTATGGCTGAGTAGTATTTCCATAGGGTATATGTGCCACATTTTTTCAATCCATTCCTCTTATTCGTGGACATTTGGGTTGGTTCCATGTCTTAGCAATTGTGAATAATGCTGCAATAAACATCAATGCGAAAGCACTTTTCTGATTCTTCTGTCCTTTGGGTAGATAACAAGGAGTGGGATTGTTGGATCATTGTAGTTCTTTTTGTAGATATTTGAGGAATCTCCATTTTGTTCTCCACAGTGGCTGGATCAATTTACACTCCCACCAGCAGTGTAGGAGAGTTTCCCTTTCACCACACCTCTGCCAGCGCTTATCTTTTTTTTTTTTTTTTTTTAATTTTTTGTACTCTTGCCTGGAGTAAGGTGGTATCTCATTGTGGTTTTGATCTGCATTTTCCTTATAAGGAGGGACTGTTGAGCATTTTCTCATATGCCTTTTTGCTATTCATATGTCTTCCTTATAATTGTTTTCTTCAACTCATTCTCCCATCTTTTAATTGGGTTAATCATCTTTTTTTGGGAAAGCTGCTTGAGTTCCCTGTGTATTCTAGTTTTTGGTCCCTTCTCTGGGGTAGAGTTTACAAAAATATTCTCCCATTCCAAGGGTTGTCGATTCACACTAATTACTGCGTCTTTTGATGTGCATAAACTTCTTAATCTGAAGACATTCTACTTGTCTATTTTTAGATTATTGACTGTGCTTTGGAGGTCTTATTTAAGAAGTCTTTGCCTACCCCAATGTCTCCCAGAGTTTCCCCTGTGTTTTACAGTGGTAGTTTTATAGTTTGAGGTCTTAGGTTTAGATTTAGGATCCAATTTGAGTTGATTTTTGTCATTGGTGAGAGGTAGGGGCTCAGATTCATATTTCTGCAGGTGGATATCCAGTTTTTCCAGCACTGTTTGCTAAAGATATTTTCCTTTTCCTGCTGGATTGACTGGTACCCTTTGTTAAAAATCAGTTGGCTGTATGTTTGAGAGTTTATTTCTAGTGTTTCTATTCTGTTCCATTGGTCCACCTGTCTGTTTCTGTGCCAATATCATGCTGTTTTGATTAGTGTGAGTTTTTCTTAATTCCATGTTCTCAGCAAGTCTTTAATGGTTTAGGAGCTTTTCAATAATACTAACTATTTAAATTATCAATGAATTTTCTTTTGATGTTCTTTGAATATTTTTATACTAGAACTATTCTTCACTCTAGGGAATTAATGCTTCAGTAAAATGTTTGTGTAGGGACGAGTAGATGGTGTAATGGTCACATTGCTGGACTCCCACCATGGCTGGCCAACCATGGTTCAAGTCCTAGACCCAGCAGCTTAAAACTCATGCTAGGTGTGTGTGCATATGTACCCCAAATCCTGAGAGGAGAGTGGAGGAGTAGGGATTGCAGTGTAGCCATTCCCTTGGGAGGTGATTTCTCAGTTTCTGTCTCTGTCTCTCCCTGTTTCTCCAGTGAACACATGTGCCCTATAGTAAAAAAATCTCTCTAAAAAGATGTTTTATGTGAAATAAATGTATTTAATACATTGGGAAGAAGAAAGGAGAATGTGAGAAGTCAGTTTTTCCTGAGGTTCTAGACCAATCAGAGACAGTGTTAGATTTTCATATATTGTTTCATTCACTTATACTACAACTAAAAAGTGAATGCTATTATCTCCATTTTCACAAATGAGAAAACAGAAGCTTACAGAGATTGTAACTGTCTATTATTTTCAGGCTTGTGTCTGTACTAGAATTCAAATGTAGGTTTGTCTGACTCTAACACTTATTTAATTCATCAAAAGAACATCTGGATACAGTTCATGTCAGTGCTGAATGTGCACACATTTTACTTTAAGTCTCATATTAAAACATCCAGATTTAAGTCTCTATACCCTGCTGCACCTGAAGTATGAGCCTTCTCTGGGTTTCCCATTATAATAATTGAGTAGGAAATTCTCTTCTCCCTTTCTCTTTTTTTTTTTTTTTTTGTTGAATAATTTTTTTTGTCATCCTTTGCTTAGATGCTGATTTCATTTTTTTTCTCCATAAGTCAATGACAGCCTAAATGATCACATTTTGGGTCACTGAGAGTGATGAGAAATAATACTTACTTTAGAATATCCAGAATTATATGCATTTTAAAAACACAGCACTTCCCTTTTATCTGTGGTTTCACTTTTTAAAGTTCAGTTACCTGTGGTCAATTGTTACCTGTCTGTCTGTTTCATTTATTTATTTAGAGGTTTTTGCTATAGAGTATATGTACTTGCTATAGCAAAACAAGAAATCACCCCCGGGGGGGCTGACCACATAGCAATTCCTTCTCCTCCATTATCCTCTCAGGATCTTGGGTACACACACACACACACACACACACACACACACATGCCCGGTGTGAGTTTCAAGCCTCTGGGTCCAGGACTTGAACCACAGCTGGCCACGTAGGAGTCCAGCTGTTTTAACCACCATGCCACCTGTTGTCCCCAACTGTTGTCTAAAAATAGGTAAATGCAGTATAATTTAGTAAGATATTTTGAGAGAGAGATGAGCTATATTTATATAACTTTTATTATAATATATTGTTATAACTATCCTATTTTATTATTAGTTATTGTTGTTACTGTGCCTAATTTATAAATGAGACCCTATCATAGATAAAAATGTGATCCCATACCTATGAAAAATGGAAAAAGAGAGAACCTCTTCACCCTGAGCCAGGAGTTAGTAACTCCCCACATAGCCAATGGGAGTGCTGGAGCCAGAGCTGCAGAGAGTGAGGTGGCTGTGTACCTAGGGTTCAGACCTAGCTCCTCCCCCTTATATCTGCGTGTCTAAGTCTTAGGGTCCAGCTTTCCTTACTTCTAAACTGCTGTGCGTCCCCTGTGGCAATATTGCTAAGAGGATCATATAAGTACAATCAAGTGCTTTACAAAGCACTGAGTTTGGAACAACAACAGCAAAAAGAAAAGGATACAGATTCTGTACTCCTACATTCCACAAACATGTTTTTCTCTTCTGCTGTGACTGCTACTTCATCGGTACAATGTAAAAACTGCTACTATTTTTAGATTTACAAACTTTCTTTTTATAGATAATTTTAACTCTGTTGTAATGGTAATGGTTTGAATTAAGGGGTTACCTCGATTCATGCACATCACGGAAAATTAGAGTGAATTTGAGATATTAGTGAATAATTTTACAAGTATATAATGGTTTTTGCTTTTGGAGCTCTATTACATCATCACCATCATAATAATAATGGCTAATAATAATAAGGGGCTATCTGTATGTTTGGTGACTTTGCATATATCATCCCAGTTAAACTTCACCTAATGAAGGGCTGGTCTTGTGGCTGAGTAGTTAAGGGAGCTAGAACCTGCATGGCTGACCATGATTTCAGTCCAACCTTGGCAGCTTCCAAAACACATCTAAAATCCCATCAGGATGGAGTAATGGAGAAGGGATTGTGGCATGACCACACCCCACTGGTGGGGGTGCTTTCTCTTTCTCTCTCTGGTGAGTACACATACCCTCTGGCTTATAATAAATAAATCAACTTCACCTAATTAAATAGAAATTGTTAATATCCTCATTTTGTAGATGTGAAAACTAAGGTTTAGAGAGTTCATGTAAATAGTCCAAAGTCGGGACCAGCAGGTAGCGTAATAGCTATGTCGCTGGACTCTCATGTAGTCGACTGTGGTTCATGTCCTGGACCCGGTGGCTTAAAACTCACCCCGGGCGTGTGTGTGTGTGTGCCCAAGATCCCGAGAGGAGAATGGAGGAGAAGGGATTGTGGCGTGACCATCCCCCCTGGGAGTGATTTCTCACTTTCTGTCTCTGTGTCTCTGTCTGGTGAGGCATGTGCCCTATAGCAAAAAACTCTCCAAAAAAAAAATAGTCCAAAGTCAAGATATTTAGATAATAACAAGGACGGAATTCTTGCCAGGCAGTGTTAGTTTTAGTCCTGAACAACTATAATGTCTACCTCCCTATTACATGACAGGCTGGCCGGTGGTGCTGGAGGGAGGCAAGTCAGCACTGTCTTGTTCCAGAGTCAGAATATACCTTTGGTGAGCCATTTACCTTCTCAGTTATAAGATGAGGCAAATCGAACTAGAGAATTTCTGAAGAGCTTTTAAGAGAGGGCATCTTATATGGTTTCCTAGTGTGTGAATCAGGACATGATGTTTGGTCAAAGAGCTCTTTTCTCTCACGCTCCTGTTCTCTGACATTAAGATCCCCTCATCTATAGCAGTGGCTCCTGGGGTGCTGCTTCTTGCCATAGGTACCAAAGGAACATAGCTACCTAGGTCATCCCCTGGGGAGCCTGACAGCCCTGACACCTACCAATGTAGGCTGCTCCATCTGTCACCATGTATTTGTTGCGATTTAATCTTGGAAAGGTGTGATTCTTTTGTTCTTTTGTAGCACAAGCATTCTCTCTTTCCAGATCAAAAAATTTCTGTAAGACAAAAAAAAAGGCAGGTGAATAGAGAACATTTTGGGTCTTGTTCAAGGGCACAATAGAGTATATTATCCAAATATCAACAATAGATCTCATATTGGGTTATTAAAAACCACCGTCTTGCTCTTTCATATAGATAAAGCTATTTTTGTTCTCCTATCTATATATGCCACAAGAAAGAAAATTAGCATGCTCAACTAGGACTATAATTAATACTTCTAAGCCAGAAAATGAACACAAAATTCATTCTTTCAACAGGGTGAGGGCCAGAAGGTTGTTTAATTCTCATTGTCTTATTCATCAGGGTGCACTGGCATTTGAAGCATGCCTCAGCATGCCTTCTGTCAAGCATGCCAATGAACTGAATGAATATTCGTACGTGTTGCATACATTATGTCAATGACTAGCTGATTAAACTGGGGATATGCAAAGGTCAAAAAAGATTTTGTCAGAAGAACAAATACTTTCCATCTAAACACCTAAGTCTACAAGTTCTTTTAATAGGCAACTCAAAAGCAATCACAACTTCACATCACGAATCCTGAGATTTCAACATTAATGAAAAAAATTAAAAAGCTGTATTTTATATCATCCAAGGCCAGGAATGAGGGAGCTAGAAGAGGGGCTGACACCAGGGTTGGCTAGGTCTGTGCCTCAAAGGTTGGCTGAATTTGCTAAAGGCTTAGATGAGGCTTAAATGGTAACTGGGCTCATAAGGCGATACCATTCAAAAGGTGAAGGTCTCAGGTTTCTGCATGGGAAAATGATGAATGTTTTCAGAACTGTGTAGGATCTGTATGGAATGTCACATAGCTGTGGAATTGTCTGTGTGAGGGAAAGAAGAGGCAGAGAAAAAAATGCAATGTTTACAAAATGATACCTATAGTTTTAAAACTGTAAGTGTTCAAATGTGGTTTGGGGAAATACCGAGAGTTGGACTTCTTTCTCCAGGGTGTAAGAGGAGTGACAAAAAACGGTGACTACTAAGGTCCATGCCAGCTTTGGAAATTCTATTCAGCTATTTTGTAAAATCCTTGAGATCCATGTTATGCTGGCCAAAAGCTCGTTTCCAAAAACAGTCTATTCCACAATATAGAGGAACATTCTCTCGGGGCTATATCACCGCGGTTATAGGTAATCCTACTTAGATCATCTTTGTTCCCCCCTTATGTCCTGTCTTTTGCAAAAATGGTGTGGGTTTATGGACTCTTTAGACTAACTTAATAACCTGTGAATGCTCGTAAGTCATTCAGAGCATGTTCACTCAGCAACAGCCGGCAGTCACCTCACTTAGACATTCTACAACAATGCTCATCCACACATCTGACCCTTTCCTTTCAAGAAAGACGTTATCATTAAATCAGAATAGATAAGAAATATATGTGTGTGTGTGTGTGTGTGTGTGTGTGTGTGTGTGTGTGTGTGTATACACATCCTCAGTTAGGTCAAGGATGAAGTCATAGCTTGAGGTTTCAGAGAGAACCCACTGACTCTTGACAATCGAAGAATAAGTTTTATCTGGGGGACTGAAATGACGGAAGAAATCAGATCTTTATTCACTGACATTATCAGATACTTAACATACTGTAGGAGACAGCAAAGGCATTTCAGAAGCGATTTGTTAGTTTATTAAAAATAACAACTGATTCAATTAGGACAATCTTTTGAGTCAACGTCTCTATGAGCCCCTATTTATATCAGAGCCAGGGTTGGAGGTGGCCTTCCTCTAAGGACAGAGTTTCCCTGCCTGGTTCCTGGACCATCTGTTTCATTAGTGTTTTGAGACTCCTAAAGACATTCTGAATGCAAAATCCCATGCCCACTTTCCTTGGAAGAGCTCACCACCCATCTGTGGTCTAGATGTTGGGGCCATAAACTTCTTTCTAATTTAGGTTTGTCTTTCATACAGAAATGTATGACCTCTGTTTTATTAAATGGTCAGCAATGAGCTATTAATGTTTGTTTTACTCAAGAAACGTGACCATCTGTGCTCTAAAAGATGAAGTACTCTAGAGATTAAAATGATGAATTCTAATTTCTTGCATTTTCTTGCAAGTCTGAAATGAGAGCACTTAACTTTTCACACCCTGGAGATTTCAACTGCTGGTGCCTTAGTGGCAGGTGTACTGTGGTGTCAGGAAGCAGTGGGTGGGCAGGGACCCAAGAGCTGACCTAAAGGGAAATTAAAAGAGGAGATAGGAAAAAACACACCAGATGATGTGCCAAAGGCCCCAGGTATTCTGCTCTCTTCTCCTGCTAGACCTGTGAGTCTGACTGTGGCACTGCTCTGTCTGTAGGTACACTGACTTCAGGGGTGCGTGATTTCACTTCGCCATACATGACTTCACTTTGCCACGCACCCCACAGAAAATAGCTAACCAAGTCTTGGACTCCAGGATTGTTCTGGACCTTTCTCCCTCCCCTCCCTGGCTTATAGAACCTTTCCTATCACTCTGCCTTGTCTAACTCCCTTCTTTGACTTCATTCATGCATCCACTCATTCATCATGTCTTTGACTACTTTGAGCCAGGTACCATGCTAGACACTGGGAATAAAATGGCCAGGCAGACTCCTGTTCTTTGTCTCACTTGGTTTTCCCTAAAGCTCCATGTTACCACTTATATTACTCAGAAAATACACCCTAGAAAATTCAATGTCTGAGCTGAAGCAATCCCAAGTTCTCCTGACGATTGAAAGGTAGTCTGACTACAGTCAGATTCTATTCTCCTGTGTCTCTTCCTGTCTTCCCATTTCTTCTCTGATCCCCAGTAATTGATGCAAAATGTAAGTTGGTGCCTTGATCCAACTCCTGGCTATTTTATTTGTTTTCAAATATGCCCTGGAAAACAGATCTGAGATAGCAATCATAGTCATGTTTTTATTACCAACACTTAATCTGACTTGTGAACTTACACACATGTACATGCTTGCCTCAATTTACAAAAATTAGTAAAATAGAGATAAGAATTTTTATTTTCTATTGTTGTTACCAGACCTTCAGAGAGGTTAATATGGAAATACATGTGAGAAGCACTACTTTTTAAAAATTTACAGTAGGGACTAGCAGATGGTCTAATGGTTATGTCTCTGGACTCTCCCACAAAGTCGACCACAGTTCGTTCGAGTCCTGGACCCGGCAGCTTAAAACTTAAGCCAGGTGCATTTGCATACATGCCTAAAATCCTGAGAGGAGAATGAAGGAGAAGGGACTGTGGTGTGGCCATCCCCTCTGGGGGGCGATTTCTCACTTTCTGTCTCTCTGATGAGTACATACCCATTATAGCAAAAATCTCTCTTAAAAAGATAAAAGATTTGCAGTAAATTCTGAAGTTTTATGTATTGAAATTATTAATTTCAAGAAAATAAATTTTGGGACCAGCAGTTAGTGTAATGGCTATGTTACTGGACTCCCATGTAGTTGACCGTGGTTGGAGTCCCGGACCCGGTGACTTAAACTCATGCCGGGCGTGTGTGCATGCGTGCCCAAGATCCTGAGAGGAGACTGGAGGAGAAGGGATTGTGGCGTGGCCATCCCCCCTGGGGGGTGATTTCTCACTTTCTGTCTCTCTGTCTCTCTGTCTTTCTGGTGAGTGTACGTGCCCTATGGCAAAAACCTCACAACAAAAAAATAAAAAAAAAGAAAAGAGATTTTAAAATATTTTATTGGCATGAATTAGCTAAATACATTGATTCTGACACTTTTGTTGGTACTTAGGGATTTAAGTCAGATATGTAGCTTCTCACATCTTTGAACAGATTTAGTATATGATGTTTTAAAATATAGATCAGAATGACCAAAAAGGAATTTTTATAACTATTGAAGAACTTTTGTAATTATTAAAGTTACAGAAGTAACTATACTCATGTAGAGGTCAGAGATGGCAATGTAAGAGTTTAGGCTCTGAAGTTAAAGACATGTGTGAGTCTTGAGTCTTGCTCCACTTTTAACTTTTTTTTTTTTTTTTTTTTTTGAGAGGTTTTTGCTATAGGTTGCTTCTGCTTGCTGGAGACAGAGAGATAGAAAGCAAGAAATCACCCCATGCTGCAATCCCTTCTCCTCCATTCTCCTCTAGGGATTTTGAGCATGCATGCACACGCACCTGGCATGAGTGTGAAGTCACTGAGTCCAGGACTCAAGCTGCAGTTAGCCACCTGGGAGTCCAGTGATGTAACCATTCTGCCATTTGCCGGTCCAACTTGCTCTACTACTAACTAGTGTCCCTGGGACAGGTTATTTAACCTCTAAGCTTCAGTTCCTATGTCTTTAAAGTAAGAAAATGTCCTGCTTCAGTGTAAATGTGACTATTAAATAATAAATATAAAACATTAAATTCAATGCCAGCTAATTGTACATACTCGTAAATATAACAAATTCTTTCATTTGTTGAAAAAATATTAACACCCATGTCCAGGCAATGGGAAGTGGTGCTGCCACAACAGCAACAAAAACTTAAATAAAATAATGTAGTGTTGTTTTACTCAACGAGCAGCGTGCACTGGTACCGTAGGGTGGACAGAGGAAGCCCTGTGTTGTACGATGGGAAAATACCTGATAAAACCAGAACCTGCATGTATTTGGAAGAAAAGCAAGGTATCACTGAACCTTTGACTTATAGGGCTTTGGCTACAGGGATTAGAAAACAAATGTTCATCCTGAGTGTTGGTTGTTATTTGTGCTTTCAAATGGGTAAAGGAAATAAGCTTGTGGAAGTATTGGCTGGTTTGCAAATAGAAGTAAAAGAGAATAGATAGACCAGAAGTGTAGTATGTCAAAGGGTTTGAAAAGCCAAGTGCAACTAGAAGTTAATAGAAAATAAACTGGAAAACTTATTTTGTCTATTGAAGATGGTTATCCTGGTTCTTATTGGAAGTTTACATGTATGCGTATGCTCATGGATAAACAAAGGGAATAGCCTGTATTTAGTAATGCAATCAATATAATACTTACAACTTTCAAACTGCAGTTGGCTATTTCAGTGCAAATAGCTTTAAGTGACGAAATAAAGTTAAATGTGAGGGGATCTGTTTCTTTCCAGAAGCTTATCAGGAGTCGAACTTTAACACTCCGCAAAACTAATGCTTCTCTTATTTTCCCATCCAAGTCTGGCCAGTAAGTCCTGTGGAAACAATATCCATATAGGTAAAAATATGCTAATTTTTAGAAAGAAATTTCTTGGATAACAGAGAACATTGATATTACTCTGATATTTACTTTATTGTGTAATATACAAATAACCTGTAAGTTAGATTGGAAAAATACAAGCCTTATGGATTATGCACTCTTTCTTTCTCTCTTTGCCCTTCCTCTTTTTCTTTCTTCTTTCCTTTCCCTCCCTTCTCTTCTCTCCAACCTTACTTTTTTTGCAGGTTATAAATGTCTTTTTTTTAAAATAAAAAATACAGGAAGCTGGATATATAGCCATTTGATTTTGCTATGACTAAAGAGTTCAGACTTTTACAGAAGGTAAACATACCTCTACACATGTATGTATAGTCATTAGAAGAGTATATGAACTTTCTTTTTTCAATTTCATCATCAGGCACTGGAGCATCTAGTCTCTCTCTCTTTCTTTTTTTTTTTTTTTTGAGAGGTTTTTGCCATAGGGCACGTGCGCTCTTGATCAAGCTACCCATGTTTCCCCTGATTCTCACCTTTTCTACTGGACACCTTGAATCCTCCATCAGGCAGTTTCCCTAAAAAAAGCTCAACCTCTTTCCTGAATCCTTAACTCTTAACCTTAATGAAAGTCTGATTCTTTCTTAAAGCCCTGCTTCTCCTAAAATTCTGCCACACATTTTCTACCAGAATATGGCCATTTGGTTTAGAACGTGGGGAAGGCCTCCCACTCCCAACACACAATGTCACTTTCAGAGCTGTTGCTTAATTCCCATATTTAATGAAACAAGAAACTTTACTATTTTAAGAACCAAGCCTTAAATCAATCCGCCTCCCCTCAGCTCATTTATAGATTGTTTATTCATTCAAAGCTGGCCCTAGTTCTGAGCCAATTCACTGTTTGGACTAATGATATATTATGCAATATCTTAGCCTGTCAGTGTCATGATCATTGCTCCTCCAAAGCTCTCCTCTTTGACCCTGACGGCAGCTTCCTGCCCTTTAGGTATTCTAGTCTCTTAATCTCACTATATCGGCTCCTTCATCCTGTGTCAACTATGGATCCAAAATCCCTCCAATTTGCCAGCTCCATCAACTCCTCTGGGTCTCCTTTGCCCACCAGGACCAGCTCTTATCACTTGCAGGACATTTGCCCCTCTACCTTCTTGTCACTCTTGGCAAAATCTAAATCCTGAATTGGTGCTGTAATTCTTAGTTCTATAGCAGCAAAGCTGAAAAATCATCTCAGCCTTCTGCTGCAGATTGGTGTCTCTGTTTCCAGTCTTAGCATTGCTGACAAGTACATTCCTCATAATCACCAAAGTAATCTATTTGAAAGCAGATCTGTCCATGTTACGCCTTTGATTAAAACACAATGGAATTGGGGCCAGTAGGGGTTATTTTGCTGGACTCCCACATGACCATGGTTAGAGTTTTGGACTTTAAATTCACACCAAGTGCATGTGGGCGCGTGCCCAAGATCCCAGGAAGAAAATGGAAGAGAAGGGATTGTAGTGTGGCCATTCACCCTGGGGGATTTTTCACTTTCCCTTTCATTTCCTGTCTCTCTCCCTCTGTTTTTCTCTCCCCCTCTCTCTTTCTGGCAAGTGCATGCCCCTAAGGCAAAAACCTCTAAAAAACAAATAAACAAGCAACAAACAAACAAACAAAATAGTGGAGGCTTTCCAAAGTCATGAGATGCTCCAGTAGTCTGGTTCTCCCATTCCTGGTCCTTGTCCTCTGTCCAGTTTAATCTCTTACCATTTGGGCTCTATGGTCCAGCACTCAACTTGTCACAGATCCTGGCACCTGCCAGGCTATGTTTCTCCATCTGAAGCCTTGCTCATGCTACCTTTTCTACCTGGAAAATGCATGCCCTTTCCCACCCTTTTCTGAAAATTTTCTTACTATTTGAATTGTAATTGAGATAACACCTTTTCCAATAAGCATCCTCTAACCCTGGAACTATCAAGGGTGCCCTCTTGCTGACCTCTGTGGTATTCTGTGTATGTGTCTATGGTTTATTCACACCATGGTCTCTAATCATCTATTCTTCTGTGTCTATTTACCCCTATGAAATGGAAGTCCTGGGACTGTTCACTGTTCATATTTTAATCACTAGGACACAGTGCTCCTGAAATATTTGCTGAATGAATACATAAATGAAAAATATGAATGCTCTAAAGATAAATCATGCTACATTTATTAACTTTTCATAAATAATACTGAAAGAAGTATTACACGTGACTGAAGACATAATGAACAACCCCAAACTGACATCTAAGTGAATTATTTAAAGAAAGTTTGATTGGTAAATGAGAAAGAAGTAAAATAGGCTTCTGATTATTTATTTATTTATTTTTTGGAGAGTTTTTTATTTTTTATTTTTGCTATAGGGCACGTGTGCTCGCCAGACAGACAGAGAGAGACAGAGAGATAGAAAGCGAGAAATCACCCCCCCGGGGGGATGGCCACGCCACAATCCCTTCTCCTCCATTCTCCTCTCGGGATCTTGGGCACGCACACACACGCGCCTGGCGTGAATTTTAAGCCACCGGGTCCGGGACGTGAACCGCGATCGACCACATGGGAGTCCAGCAACATAGACATTACACTAACTGCTGGTCCCTGATTATTTATTCTTTTTAAAAGAGGTTTTGCTGTAGGGTTCATGGACTGGAGAGAAAGAGATGTTAAGAGGGGAAGTAAGAAATTCCCACCCACCAGGGGGGATAGCCATGCTGCAATTCCTTCTCCTCCTTCTTCTGGGATCTTGGACACATGCACGTGTACACACACACACACACACACTGTGATTTTCTCTCTTTCTTTCTTTCTTTCTTTTTTTTTTTTTTAAGAGGTTTTTGTTATAGGGTGCATGCGCTCGCCAGACAGAGAGAGGACAGAGAGACAGAAAGCGAGAAATCACCCCCCGGGTGGATGGCCATGCTGCAATCCCATCTCCTCCATTCTCCTCTCGGGATCTTGGGCACACAAGCACATGTGCCCGGCATGAGTTTTTAAGCCACCGGGTCTGGGACGTGAACTGCGGTTGACTACGTGGGAGTCCAGTGACATAGCCATTACGCTAACTGCTGGTCTCCACACCCCGTGATTTTCAAGCTACCTGGTCCAGGACTCAAACTGCAGTCAGCCATGTGGGAATCCAGTGACATAACCACTATGCCATCTATTGGCCCCTGGCTTCTGCTTGCTTTTACTGCAGAATTTATTTAGTCATATATCATTGTTCCATTCATGTCCTATTATCTTGAAAAGTAGAAGTTACTTCTAACATGATTGCTAAGTGATGTGCCTTTATTTATTTATTTTTTTTTTGGAGAGGTTTTCACTATAGGGCGCGTGCGCTCGCCAGACAGAGAGAGAGAGACATAAAGACAGAAAGCGAGAAATCACCCCCCAGGAGGGATGGTCATGCCACAATCCCTTCTCCTCCATTCTCCTCTTGGGATCTTGGGCACGCATGCACACGCGCCCAGTGTGAGTTCTAAGCCACCGAGTCAGGGACACGAACCGCGGTCGACTACATGGGAGTCCAGTGACATAGCCATTACGCTAACTTCTGGTTCCCATGATGTGCCTTTTTTTTTTTTTTTATGCTATCAGCCGTTTCTAATTTTGGAGTATATAAATTTATTTTTCCTCTTCATTTGAGTGTTTGGCAGTGTAGTGTAAAGTCAAGTCTCTAAGAAATTCTAATATCATACCAAAAATTGATAGTATGTTAATTTAACTTAAATTCAGGCTATCTCGATAATTGATAGTATGTTAATTTAACTTAAATTCCAGCTGTCTTGATAATACAGTGGTTATGCACTGTGGATGGAAAGCTGGATTGCACATGGCTGGCCTCAGTTTGATGTAGTTCATGTGTGCGTATGCTCAAAATCCTGACGGGATGGAGAAATGGAGGAAAAGAGATTGCAGTGTGATCATGCCCCACTAGGGTGCGCTCACTCTCTCGCTCTCTTCTCTCTCTCTCTCTTTGGCAAGTGCACATACCCTCTGACAATAAAAAACAAACAAATTTTAAAATCCCTGAGCAGAAAACATTAAAAAAAAAAGTTAAATTCACCTCAGAAAAACTTTTCCAGGATTATGAAGCAGTAGGGCTTAAAAATTTTTTTCTTATTCATATGACTGAGAAGAATTTAATTATGACCTGGGTGTTTGAACAACTTATGTCTCTTTAACCCTTCATGTAGAAAGCTAAAGACCTTTACAGGTTTGAAAATTTAAATATACAATAAAAGAAGTCCTCTTTAAATAATTGCTAAACGGTAGACTAATAACCAAAATGAAAAATTTCAGGTGAGTCTCAGTTCCTTAAAATTCTTTCAGTTTTTGGGACTAGCAGTTAGCATAATGCCTATGTCGCTAGATTCCCACGTAGTCGACCGCAGTTTGTGTCCCGGACCCGGTGGCTTAAAACTCACACCAGGTACATGTGCGTGCTCAAGATCCTGACAGGAGAATGGAGGAGAAGGGATTGTGGCGTGGCCATCTCCGCTGGGGGGTGATTTCTCGCTTTCTGTCTCTCTGGGAAGCACACGAGCCGTATGGCAAAAACCTCTCCCCTCCCCTCCAAAAAAAAAGAAAGAAAAATTCAGTTTTTTTTTTTGAAAGATTTTAAGATACCATACTAATTATTTTGTCCTTGACTATAAGGAATCCCAATTTTGTTCATGGTACTTCATGGAATAAAGGTTTAATCAATCTTGAGAAATTATTATGCCATCCTAGCATGCAAGCCCTAAACATGACTTTTCCTTTTTCTGAATAACAGGAAAATCAAGCAAAATCTGTTCTGTTTCAGAATTTTCCCAAAGCGAGGCTGAAGTCTAAAATTAAATCTAAAAACAAATAAACAACAAATGACAGAAACATAAAAGAAGGTATAGAAAAGATGTGAAAGTACATGGAAAAACTCATGAGTATTTAAAGGATGCACAATTTTAAAGTAAAAATGTTTATAATGTGAATCTTTCAGTTTAAAATACTTTTTTACTAATGTCATCAGAGGCAATAATTTTCTGGAAGAAATGTTTTATGCAGTTCTGCATATAGAAGTTGAATATTATGCATAGGTAGGTTTGGAAGTGTGAAAAATATTCAAGCAATATAGGGAACACTTAATCATTTAGCCTCAGTAAATGATTATTTTGAAAGTATGATTTTCCAAATTAAAAAGGTCTCAGATTGCAATCTTAGAAATACTTTTAAAACATCTCCTAGATTAAATTATTCAAAACATTGACAAGTACCCAAATCTCTATAGTTCCAGCAAGAAAACAGAAGTGAGAATATCTAGGCATGGCTATTCATTTATGTAATGACTTCCCAAAGATTCTGCCATAAATTTTACCACTAAATTTATTCCAAATATTTGTATGCTTAAACAATGATGAATTATTGAGAACTTCATTTTCTTTTCTTTTTTCTTGAGAGATTTTTGCCAGAGAGAAAGAAAACAAGAAATCATCCCCAGGGGGATGGTCACACTACAATCCCTTCTCCTCCAGTCTCCTCTTGGGATTTTTTGAGCACACATGCACACGTGTCTGGCATGAGTTTCAGGCTGCTGGATCTGGGACTTGAACCGCAGTCGACTACGTGGGAGTACAGTGATATAACCATTATGCCACCTACTGGTCCCCAGAACTTCATTTTAACATGTTCTCTTTCTCAGAAAAAGGGATGGATGGATTGAGATCATATATATATTAAGTTCCCTTCTCTTCCATTGAGAAGGTATTATGAACATTTTAACATAATGAAAATTGCTGTAAATACAAAAAAGTGATACTTTTTTTGAAGAAAATCTTATAAGACTTACTTGGCTTCAGTATAATGTCTGGACACATCCCCATTCATCATTTTCAAATATAATTTTATTTTTTATTTCTTTTTCTTTTGTTTTGGAGAGGTTTTTGCTATAGGGTGTGTGTGCTCGCCAGACAGACAGAGAGAGACACAGAGACAGAAAGTGAGAAATCACCCCCCAGGAGGGATGGCCACGCTACAATCCCTTCTCCTCTATTCTCCTCTCGGGATCTTGGGCATGTACACACACGCGCCCGGCATGAGTTTAAGCCACTGGATCTGGGACTCGAATCACGGTCGACTACATGGGAGTCCAGCGACATAACCATTATGCTAACTGCTGGTCCGTCAAATATAATTTTATTTTTTAAGAATAATTTTCAAATTGAGAACTGCCCTTTTTAAAAAAAAAAAAAAAAAAAAGCTTCTTTCATGAGAGAAGGGAAACAGAGGGAAAGATGAGTACCACCAACTGGGTCTTCATGGTGTGATCTACACCCAGCCAGCTTTACAGGCACACGTGCATATACCCAGGAAGTACAAGGTGACCTCTGGATGTGAACCTGGGATCTCCCCATGTGGCATTAGCATTAAAGAGCATCACACTTCTGTGGTGTCACTGGATCTGGACCAGACCTTCTTTGTTAAGTTACTCTCTATGCCTGTCATGTAAAATGCGGAGGCACGTCTGTAAAGTATGACCTTTAGCTCTTAGAATGGACCCATTTAGAGAACCAGCAGTTAGCATAATGGCTATGTCGCTGGACTCCCATGTAGTCGACCTTGGTTCAAGTCCGGACCCAGTGGCTTAAAACTCACGCCGGGTGCGTGTGTGTGCGTGTGTGCGTGCCCGAGATCCCGAGAGGAGAACGGAGGAGAGGGGATTGCGGCGTGACCATCCCCCCGGGGGGGTGATTTCTCACTTTCTGTCTCTGTGTCTCTCTCTGTCTGTCTGGCAAGCGCATGCGCCCTATAGCGAAAACCTCTCCAAAAAAAAAAAAAAAAAAGAATGGACCCATTTAGAAAACAAACGCATCATGAGTAAATTGCAAATGCACACAGGAGAGGGGATAGTGTGATCTTCCTGAGGAAACCTGATGACATCTCAGTGTCTTGGTTGGTTTTTCCTCTGGTCTTCAGTTTAGTGCCAGACCCTGGAGACTGAGGTCCAACTGACCTTTTGGTGCTTGTGCTGGAGATCGGCAGGTAGTCGGTGACCGCGATGTACACGTACTGCTTGGCGTCATCGATCACGCTGTAGATGGCGTCTATGTCAAAGCTTCTGTTTTTAGGGCAAAAGAGTTTAGGGGAATTCTGTGAAGATACAAAAAACAAACTTTTAGAGTATTAAATTTTGGTGTCTGGAGATGTTTTTCCTTTCTTTGTTTTAAAAGATCTTGGCTTATAATTTTTTTTATAAATCTACTTTCTAGTCTTGATCAGATTAGACAGTGATATTTTCAGTCATATCAAAGTTGAGGAATGTAGAGATCAAGGTATGGTGGACTAAATCTCAAGTTCTGCCTTTTAAATCTGTTTTAGGCCTTTTACTTTAAAAAAATAGAATTATTTTACTTATTTAATTTTATTTATAATTTTTTATTTGACCAGAGAGAGAGAAGGAAAGCAAGAAAGCAAGCTATCAGGTCCAGGACTTGAACTGTGGTTGACCATGTGGGAGTCCAGTGACTTAACCACACACACACATGTGCACACACAGAGCAAGTATTTACACCAGAACTCATTTCCTTTGAAAGGTTATAGGATCATGCAAATGTTCAAGACACAAACATCTAAAAATCTTGTTTCTTTTTAATTCTTTTTTCTTCTTGCTCCAAATCTTTCAAGTCAGGAAGAAATATGTGTTTATTGTTGAGCAAGGGTCATCAATAAGTAGATAGGAAAAATACTGAGTTATTGAGACACATAAGTTAATCAGAATCAGAGAAGAATGTTCCAAAAGATTCAAGCAAAATTAAAAGAGGCAAATTATGCTGAAGTATTCTTCTCATGTTGCTTTAAGCAGTTTTCGTCTTTAAAATATGGTGTCTTTAGATGTAGTTGCTATAGAAAGGAAAAGATTTACTTTGGTTTTCTCATTACTTTTCTGCTAGACAGGATTGAAAATAGTGTTTCTCATAGTTCCTGTCTTACTCTGACTAGCATACACTATGGCAAATGTAGAAGTACAAATAACACAAGAGGCACTTAGTACCAAAAGGTTAAACAAATGGTTTCTGGAACTGCCTGGTATAAAAAACAGTACTGAGCCATTGGGACCCTCTTCACCAAGTCATATTCTGGAAGAGCTTTCTTCACTGCACTGGAAGGAATTCCCGCTCCAGCTTAGAGGTTTATGCAATGAAGCTGTGGGCCTAAGTGTCCATTCAAAAGGAGCAGAGGGGTAAGAAAGGCGCATTGAAGATCATACATTCTGCAGGGATCATTGTCTAGAAAGCTCACTTGGTAACAAGCAGGATATGCTTTTGATCAAGTGTCTAAAAGTTCAAATATCTGTTTTCATTAGGAACTTCCCAAATTTTATTGCATATTCAAAACTACATTTTGTTTTTAGTGAGGAACAAATTTTAGCAAGGAGTTAAAGGTGGCCTTTTTTGGGGGGGAAGGGGGAGAGATTTTTGCTATAGGGTGTGTATGCTTGCCAGAAGGACAGAGAGAGACAGAGAGACAGAAAGAGAGAAATCATCCCCCAGGGGGGATGGCCATGCTGCAATCCCTTCTCTTCCATTCTCCTCTCGGGATCTTGGGCACGCACGCACACACGCCTGGCATGAGTTTAAGCCATTGGGTCCAGGACTTGAACTGCAGTCGACTACATGGGAATCCAGCGACATAGCCATTATGCCAACTGTTTGTCCCCATGGTGGCCTTCTTTAAATTTGCTATTATCTTACAAGTTGGATACTGTACCTGCAATCTAGAGGAACAAGCATGGGTTTTGGTGATAATGGCCACCTTCTAGGATGTACAACTTGAGACATCTGGCATGACCCTTACATTTTTTGAGCCTCTTTATCCTAATGGGGTTAATAATGAGAACACACCTTCCTGCTGGCTTGCCTTTTTGGAGTGTTATTGCTCCAACCTATGTCATTTGGGTATACAAGTAAGAGATTGGCTGTTGCCTGGCTGGGTTCTGTGTCCCTCTCCTGTGCTTGCTTGCAAATATTTGCTCAGCAAATATTCCTAAGTGCCTGACATGCTCCAAGCTCTGGTCTAGGCACTTTGTAGACGTGAGTGATGGAGATAACATCCCTGCTTTGTGGAGCTTCACTCTAGTGCATGTTACATGGTCTTGCATTCTTCTGTCTGTGTTTCTCCACTAGCTTGTGAACTAGTATATCTCTTGAACCTTGTGCTAGGCACTTTTTATATGCCCGATGACTATTTGTAGAACAAATGTGAAAGTGCTTCCTAAATGAATGTTAGAGTTTTAACCTCCAATCTCTACTTTTGGTTGAAGTTGCTTCATTATGGCGTTTACATATATGTCAAAATAGATCTTCATTAGCATTTACCTGGCTTATTGTTTCCTGTTTCTGTTGTCTGACACAGTGTCTAGAACATGGCAGATGCTCAATGTGTTTATTAAGAAAATGCAGGATTATTTGTAGCAGTCCTCCTGCACCATTGTGTCCCAGGCAAGTTCTAGGGTATTCTACTTTTAAATACAGTGCCTGGATATGCTAATGGTTTAACAATATTTGTTCACGGGGCCAGATGGTATTATAGCAGTGAAATACAACACTCTATAAGGTCATCCCATATGGGAGGGTTTCCAGTTCAAGTCCAGAGACTTTCCCAAATATACCAGGTGTTCATGTGACGATGATGTGGGGTTGGCTGAAAGCTAAAGAGGTTGATTATGCAACCAAAACATTGTAAAGGGTGCTGTCACTCTGTCCCAGAAATAAATTAGAAATAAATTTTTAAAAAATGTTTGAAGAGGGACCAGCAGTTAGCATAATGGCTATGTCGCTGGACTCCCACGCAGTCGACCACGGTTTGAGTCCTGGATGTGGTGGCTTAAAAAAAACTCACGCCAGGCGCGTGTGCGTGCATGCCCAAGATCCCAAGAGGAGAATGGAGGAGAAGGGATTGTGGCGTGACCATCCTCCCTAGGGGGTGATTTCTTGCTTTCTGTCTCTATGTCTCTCTCTGTCTGTCTGGCGAGCACACACGCCCTATAGCAAAAACCTCTCAAAGAAAAAAAAAAAGCTTGAAGAATAAATTAATAGATAACAATGTAAGGGTGATCTACTAGTCTGGCAGAAGTTTATTTCTCACCATTTGATTAGAAAGAAAGGTATTGACTTTCCCTCTTAGCCCTTCTGAATTATGCTATGTATTTCTTTATTCCATAGTAAAGTAGGAGCATGAAAATACAATTCCTCTTTAGCAAGTTAGTTTTGTGATGATCTTTTAGTAATCAGAAGTTCTTTAGGCGCCTCACTTCTGGGTTAATCTAGATTTCTCTCTTAGATTAATTTATCTTCATAAATGCAAGTAATTCATTTTGCATACTCATTAAATATTTGCCTTATAGAAATGTTAGCAGGTTTCTGATTCATTTTGTAGTAATTTCCTGGCATTTAAAAAGTTCATATTTTATTTCTAGAATATATACATTAAAATGTAATTAAACATGAAAAAAATGACACAAGGAAAGGGAGAAAATATTTGCAAATCACATATCTATTAAGGGACTTGTACCCAGGATATATAAAAAATTCTTACAATGCAATTAAAAAATAATTTAATTAAAAAATAGGCAAAAGATTGATATTTTTCCAAGCAATATATACAAATGACCAATAAGCACATTAAAAGGTACAGACAAAACCACAATTAAATGCTAATTCACACTGACTAGGAAGACTAAGTAAGACAGAAAAATAAATGGCAAGGATGTAGGAAGAAGTATTGTTAGAGGGACAGTAAAATGGTACAGTCAATTTAGAAAATAGTTTGGCAGGTTCTCAAGATGTTTAACATAATTTACCATATTACCCAGTAATTCCACTACTACATAAACCCAAAATAATTAAAAACAAGTATTTAAATAAAAACTTGTACATAAATGTTCATAACTTCACTATTTATGATAACTAGAAAAGTAGAAGTATCCAAATTTTCACCAACTGATAGAGGGATAAATAAATTGTGGCATGTCCAAACAATGGAATGGTCCTTTGCCATGAAAAGAAATTAAGAAAATACTGACCCATGTTACAACATGGATAAACCTGGCAAACATTATGCTAGCTGAAAGAAACCAGTCAATAAGCTTATCTATTGTATTATTCCATTTAAATAAACTGTCCAGAAAAAGCAAATCCATATGAGAAATTAGATTCGTGGTTGGAAAGGGATGGAGGGAAGGAGAAAATGGAGAGGAACTGTTAATGAGTGTGGGATTTTTCTTCACAACAAAGAAAATCTGATGCTGGAGATGTTTGCAAAACTCTGTGACTATACTAAAACCCACTGGGTTGTACACTTTAAAAGGTTGAGTTGCGGGGCTGGCAGGTGACATGGAGGTTGAGGTACTGGACTCCCACATAGTCAACTACGGTTTAATTCCTGGATCTGGTGACTTGCTTTCTTACTTTCCCTCTCTCTTTCTGGTCAAATTAAAAAAATGATAATAACAAATCTTTTTTTAAAAAGGGTGAGTTGTATGATATGTAAATTATATCATAATAAAGCTGTTAAACCGTAATTAACAATATACACTGGAGCTTCTAAAATATGGTATTTTCCCACAGTAACACTGGGTTCTATGCAATGTCTGCCCTCACTCACTAAATATATGTTTACGTGAGTGATGGGTGAATATATTGAAAAGTAAGCCACAAGAAATGAAGTCTGTCTAGTACTTAGATAAATAAAAACAGGCCTTTAGCTAAGTAGTATTTATCTTAGAAAGCAAATATATTATCATAAGGGCCCTAAAGAGAAATCTACAAGATAGAAACTCAGGCAACTATCATTCCCACCTTTCCTAATTTCAATAGGAAAAGTAAGAAAAAAATTAGACTATTTGGCCCCACGTTACTAGAATCACATAGTTAAGCTGAGTGCCTCTTTGTGTTCCATGAAAAAATTAGAAATAATCCATGTATACTTTTTTCTACTATAATTTTTAAACATTTTATTTTTATTTATTTTATACATTCAATCACTATACATCACTTAGCTTGTAAAGTGAATTTACCCAACATGAAGACACTTCACACCAGTCCAGTTGAGGATACTATACATGTTATTATCAACAGATAATCATTAATTTTGGTGTTCCATAAATGTCTTCTCTCTGTTTTTCTCCTTGATTTCTTTCCTCATACTCTCCCCCTTCTCCCACCCTCTTCCCACACTGTCTCCAGTATCCCTAACCATTTTCCAAGCTTCCATATTATCTAATATTTCAGTTTCTGCTATAGAATGTGGACAGTCGGTATGTTAAGAAGAGACACACAGTGTCTCTCTTTCATAGCTGTGCTTGCTTCACTTAGCAGTAAATCTTTCATATTTGTCTACTTTCTATTAAATGCCAGGATCTTGTTGTTTTTTATGGCTGAACAGTATGATCTTTTTTTTAAAAAATTTTTAATTTTTTTTTTTTTTATGGCTGAACAGTATTCGGTAGAGTACATGTGCCACACATTTTCAATCCAGTCATCTGTTTGTGGACATTTGGGTTGGTTCCATGTCTTAGCAATTGTGAACATGCCACAGTAAACATATATGTACAAGTATTTTTCTGACTGAGCATTCTTCTATCCTTTAAGTAGGTACCCAGCAGTGGAATTGCTGGATCATATGGTAGTTCTATTTTTAGGTCTTTGAGGAACCTCCATATTATTCTCCACAGTGGATGAACCAATTTACATCCCACCAACAGTGTAGGAGGGTTCTCCTTTCAGCATACCCCTGTCAGCACTTATCTTTTTTTTTTATCTTAGTCATTCTGACTGGGGTTAGGTGGTATCTCATTGTGATTTTGGTCTGCATCTCCCTTATGATGAGAGATGTTGAGCATTTTTTCTTGTGCTTTTTGGCTTTTATATGTCTTCCTTAGAGAGTTTGTTCAGCTCATTTTCCCATCTTTTAATTGGGTCGATCTTTTTACTGGGGAGGGGACTGGTAAGCCCTTCGAATTCTCTGTGTATTCTGGTTATTGGTCCCTTATCTGAAGCATAGTTTACAAAAATATTCTCCTGTTCTGAGGGTTGTTAATTCTCAATAATTACTGTGTCTTTTGCCGTGCATAAACTTCTTAATCTGAAGTAATTCCACTTGTCTAATTTTGGATTATTGCCTGCACTTTGGTGTCTTATTTAAGAAGTCTTTGCCTACTTCAATGTCTCCCAGAGTTTCTCTAGAGTTTTCCACCAGTAATTCTATAGTTTGAGATCTTAGGTTTATATCTTTGATCCACTTTGAGTTGATTTTTTGTTAATGGTGAGAGATAGGGGTCCAAATTCATCTTTCTGCAAGTGGATACCTAGATTTTCCCAGCATCATTTGCCAAAGAGGTTTTTCTTTTCCTGTTGGATTGGCTAGTACACTTTGTCCAAAGCCAGTTGGCTGTATGTTTGGAGGTTTATTTCTGGGGTCTCTATTCCATTCCATTGGTCCACATGTCTGTCTTTGTGCCAATACCATGCTGTTTTGATGATCACAGCTTTGTAATATATTATGGGGTTAGGTAGTGAGATGCCTCCTACTCCACTCTTCTTGTGCAGGATTGCTTTGACAATATGGGGTCTTTGATGGTTCCAGAAAATTCTATGATTGTCTTTTCTAGATCTGTAATGAATGCCTCTGGTGATTTGATTGGCATTGCATTAAATATGTAGATTAATTTGGGTAAAATTGCCATTTGATTACATGAATTCTTCCATCCAACACTGGATGTCCTTCCACTTTTTTGTGTCATTTCAATTTCTTTTTTAAGATTTTCATAGTCTTCTTTGTAGAGGTCTATACTTATATTATAATTTTTATTTTAAACTATGCTATGTTATCAATGATCTAAAACCTAATTGGAGAATGATTTTCTTAAGGTCTTCAGATACTCTTTTTGTGTGTGTTCACTTCAGTCTTGGGTCTGTCAGTTTATGAAAGTACAATTAACTGTTTTATAACACATATATCAAATTTAAATACATGTTTTGGCATTTGTTTGACATATATTACTAATAAAACTGTATGCATTCTGGAACTTCCCCTTAGTATTAACTAATGAAACAAATCTAACATTTACTGTTGTTTATAGAGAGCACCAAGTGATACACTAGGAATACTAATGATGGAAATACTGTGTATGATATTCAGTCTTATAAAAAAGTGGGAAAGATGTTATAAACAGTTAGAAGAAGAAGACAAATGCTATAATAGATGTGAGACCATGGAACTCTGGCTAAATTATACTAATTCCAATAACAATGATTTTATGACATTTTTATACCATAAGATTTTATACCTTTTCAGAAATGGTATTCAATAAGTATCTGTGGAATTGAAATTCATAGGTAAGCTTGCTATTATTCATAGGAAACAGGAAACAAAACAACAAATGAAATGGAAAAATATATAAGACTTACTGAAGAAATGTTTTGTAACTCATTTTGTGGCAAACTTTTTAATAGAAAATCAGTTTTTGGGTCAACCACATAGCATAGTGGTTAAGAGAGAGACAGATCCAACATGGCCTACCAGGTAGAATCCACTCTGCCATCTCGCTCTCTCCCTCTCTCTCTCATCCTTCCACATGCAAAAGCAACTTCTAAATTTGTCCTAGCATACAACAAAGACTTTGCACTTTATATTTAACTAAAGGCCTAAAGCCCCTCTCTCTGTTGTTTATTAACTTTAGAATCAACAAAGGAGAACACCCTCCCTTTTTAAGGATCATATCTTAAATTTAGGCAACAACCATAAATTTCTAGGATTTAAGTTGTAAATTCAAAATCCTGCACTTATCCCAAATTCTTTAATTCACCTATTTCTCGCTTCCAATTTGTTCTTCTTGATCTGGACAAACAAGTCCCCTTTGCCTGGGGATATAATGCCACTCTGATACCATCTGGATTAAAAGTTCTTGACAAATTTCCTATTGGTGCTTATCTACAAATTGGCAATATTATCTAGCTGGTCTTATATGGTCATCTTATTATTATTTTCTTTTTGAGAGGTTTTTGCCATAGGGCGCGTGCGCTCGCCAGGGAGACAGAGAGATAGAAAGCGAGAAATCACCCCACCAGGGGGGATGGCCACGTCGCAATCCCTTCTCCTCCGTTCTCCTCTTGGGATCCTGGGCACACATGCACATGCACCCGGCGTGAGTTTTAAGCCACTAGGTCCAGGACGCAAACTGCGGTCGACTACGTGGGAGTCCAGCGACATAGCCAGCGCTAACTGCTGATCCCTTATATGGTCATCTTGAGATGAAATGAAAAGTTGTATATGAAATGATTTTGTGAGTAAAATGAATGAAATATGCTAGTATGCAATGTGCAAATCATTAATGTGCTCTTGAGCTCTATGCATAGAGGAAAAACAAAACTTTAGCTCCATTTGATGAAAAGCCTTCATCAAATAAGCCCTGCTATTCACATTTGTGTGAATCTGTTAAGACAAAAAAATTTCCTTTTTTCTTTCTGTTGTTATATTTCTAAAATTTCAGATTGTGTTTTTATTTGAATAGTCAAAAAAGATATCGTTCGCTCCTCAAGAAAATGCTCTTTAGTGACAAAAAGCTCTTTAGTGATATAAATAAGTTAAAAATCACTTATTCCAATCAAGGGAGAAATAACAATGTTAAATTGGGAGCATAGTTTGTCGAAGTTTCTCTGAACATCAAGATTAATTCAGAAACTTGATTAAAATCTAACTTCTAAGGTCTTGCCCCAGATATAGTGGATTATATCCTGTGGATAGGGGTAGGGGTGGGACTATAAATCTTCACTTTATACAGAATCACTAGTTAATTTGTGAGTGTATATTCTAAAGTTTGAGGTCTAGGACTGCAGGCCCTAGATATTTACATTGCCTATTCTTGGTAACACTGCTGGTTAGCTATGGTGTGGGCAGCGCAGTGGTGGAAAGGGTATATGAGGTAGGGAGTATGAGTAGGTGGTGTTCAGGGAAGTCAGAGGTTGGGAGCTGTGCAAGGAGCCTGTCCTGTTAGGTGGACCTTTTGCCTTCCAACCCTAGTCAAGTACAATGGCTTGCTTTTGTCCATTTTATACACTGGGATTCCTAAAGATTTGTCCCATTAGAGGATTCTTCTGCTAAAAGCAAGTCTGACAATCATTGATGTAGGGGATCACAAGGGTAATAATCTTTGGTGTCAGAACACCTGAGTGCTATCTCTCTCCTGGAACGTCCATCTGATGGACTTGATGCTAATGGACAAGCTTCAATACATTCACTTGTGAAATAATCCCCGTCCCCTGCCTACCTTAAAGGATGACTGTGGAGATCAAATCCGATAGCTCAAAGGGTCTGAAATTAGGAATGCTCATTAAGATTTATTATTATGGACAGTCTGTGATTGAGGAAAAGAAAGGATATATTTTTAATTTTTCGAGGGATGAGATAGAACCAATTTGCCTAATATATTTTTTTGACCAATACAAGTTCACTCTCAACCATTCCAACTTAGTAAGGAGCCCGGGAGGAAGATGGAGAGGAAGGAGAGGAAAAAGAGGACAAACAACTCACCGACACAAACGCTTGAGATTTGGTTTCATTCAGCTGAAGTTGCAATTTCTTTTCATTGTCATAGACTCCATAGAGTCTCTTGGACCAGGTCTGAGGTACTCTGCTCTTGAATTTTAATGAACTATATAAAGCAAAAATTCTCTGTAAATCTAGGACCAGGCAGCTGCAGTTGTAGAAGATGACACCGAGTTCTTTCATCTGTGAAATTAAAATTGAAAGCATCAGTGCCATGAGTGTGTGATGGTGTTTTCAGAGAGAAAAAGAACATAAAAAATGCAGCAGTGGTGATTTTCTTTTTTGCATTTGTTGTTACAAAGAAGCATGAAGATATAATCACATTATAATTTATAGAAGTGATACATTATAAAAATGCTTACATATTTAAGTAGAACTTTTGCTTGCCTTCTGTGTTTGGCTCTACCAGAACTTTTTTTTTTTTTTTTTTAAACAAAGATTTTTGCTATAGGGCATGTGTGCTCACCTGAGAAAGTGAAAAGTCACCCCCCCAGGGAGGATGGTCACACCATAATCCCTTCTCCATTCTCCTCTTGGGGTTTTGGGCATGCATGTACATGTGTCTGGTGTGAGTTCCAAGCTGCCAGTTCCATGACTCAAACCATGGTTGACCATGTGGTCCAGCACCTTAACCACTATGCCACCTCCTGGCCCTTCTAACAGATAATTTTTCCATATTTATCTACATTTTTTTTTCTTTTTTGGAGAGGTTTACGCTATAGGGCACGTGCGCTCGCCAGACAGACAGAGATATAGAGACAGAAAGCGAGAAATCACCCCCTAGAGGGGATGGTCATGCCACAACCCCTTCTCCTCCATTCTCCTCTCGGGATCTTGGGCATGCACGCACACACGCCTTGCGTGAGTTTTAAGCCACCGGGTCCGGGACGCGAACCGCGGTCGACTATGTGGGAGTCCAATGACATAGACATTATGCTAACTGCTGGTTCCCTTTATCTACATTTTTCATGTTGATACAATAGTATTCTCTTTTTTTCATGAATCCATAAATTATGCAGCAAGAAAATGTCTGACTTTGGGAACCAGCAGTTAGCGTAACGACTGTGTCGCTGGATTCCCACGTAGTCTACCGCGGTTCGCGTCCTGGACCTGGTGGCTTAAAACTCACGCCAGGCACGTGTGCGTGCGTGCCCAGGATCCTGAGAGGAGAATGGAGGAGAGGGGATTGCGGAGTGACCATCCCCCCTGGGGGTGATTTCTCGCTTTCTGTCTCTATATCTCTGTCTGTCTGGCGAGCGAACGCGCCTTATAGCGAAAATCTCTCCAAAAAAAAAAAAAAAAAGTTTGACTTCAATTAGAGTGAATAGAATGATTACATTCACAGATTGTGGAGTTAGACTGCATAGAATTAAATTTATCTCCCCAACTTTCTAGCTGGGTGACTTTGGATAATATCATCTCTTGGTCTCAGTTCTTTCTTTTATAATATGGAGAAAATAGTGTTTATTTCATATAGTTGCTATGCGACTTAATGTAATGGATACATTTAAGGCTAGAACAGTGCCTATCACATGGTAACCACTAAACGTATGTTAGCAATTGTTAGTCTTATGAACATTACACAAGCTTTAAGAGTTACAGAGCAGTAGACTCTCACAATGCAGAGACAGCACAGATTATTCTGTCCATCTCCCTCAAAACACAAATGAGAAAAATAAAGTTCACACAGATAAGTAAAAACACTCACTCCAAATTAGATATTTGCCAGTGATAAATTAAGATTTTGAATACAGGCAGGTAAATTAAAAATTTGAATGCAGGGAGGAAAAGAGGGAAAAGGAAGATGGGAGAAGGGTAGCTGTTCAACTATACCCAGGAACATTGCTGTACTGGCTTCGTTCAAGTCCTGTATCCCTTTATGAAAATTACAGATGATTTTTCTTCAACGAAACTATACAAAACTATCCAGTCATAGTAGAGCAGTGCATAAGTGTACATGTTTTACATGACCTGTACACCCAGTGAGGGATTTATTAAGAACTTGGCTCTCTGGGGACCTAGGGTCCACTGATGTAAAATTCCCTTGCTGTGCCTTCTTTCAGCCTCTATTCAAGATCCCTTTCTTAGGGTTATACGAGAGCTCACCCACCATGAATACACCTGCCTCTGCTTTCCCCCTAAGACTCAGTGCAATGTGTCATAGAGACATCTCCATATTTGTCTGTATAGGTTTATCATCATCTTATCAGCTCAACAGTGACTTTGTGGAGACAAATTAAATTTCCTCTCTGTTGCTATATGCCATGGAATATATAGATGCAAGTTATTTAATCCACCTATGGGCCTCTTTCTATTTTTTCTAATGCAAAAAATAATGCAATGAACATCATGGTACAATATTTATTTCTTTCTTTACTTTTTTTTAAAAGAGATTTTTGCTATAGGGCGCATGAGGTCTACTGGAGAGACAGAGATAGAAAATGAAAAATCACTCCCCAGGGGGGATGGCCATGCCATCATCTTTTCTCCATTTTTCTCTTGAGATTCTGGGCACACACACACACACATGTGCCTGGTGCCTGGTGGGTCCAGGACTTGAACTGTGGTCAATAACATGGGTGTCCAGTGACATAACCACTATGCCATTTGCTGGTCCCAGTGCAATATTTCTTTACTGTAGATCCCTAGACCTCAATGCACAAATACATTAAGGACAATTAGAGGTTAACAAAGTTGAAAGAGGGACCAGTTGTGATGTAGTGCTTAATGTATCTAGATCCCAAGTGGCTGACTGGGCGGTTAGAGTACAACTGAGTGGCTAGAGTCCCAGTCCCAGCAGCCTGAGAAACTTGGGACCAGCAAGTTAGCGTAATGACTATGTCACTGTACTCCCATGTTTGACTGTGGTTTGAGTCCTAGACCTGGTGGCTTAAACTCATGCCAGGTGCGTGTGCGTGCTTACCGAAGATCCCAAGAGGAGAATGAAGGAGAAGGGATTGTGGCGTGGCCATCCCCCCAGGGGGCGATTTCTCGCTTTCTGTCTCTCTGTCTCTCTCTATCTCTCTGGTGAGTGCACGCACCCTATAACAAAAACCTCTCAAAAAAAAAAAAAAAAAAAAAAAAAAAAAAAAAAAAATTAAAATCCCAAAAGAAGGAGAGGAGGAGGAGTAGAGATTGCAGCTTGATCCCTCCTTTCTCTCTGTCTCTCTCTTCCTTCCTTTCCCCCTTTCCTCTGGTGAGCATATGTGCCTTCTGGCGGATGAATAAATAGAGTGAAAGGAGATAGAGTGGAGAGTGCATGTCACATATATATAAAGGTACTGAGGCTGGGCCTTAGTCGGTGTGGCTGAACCTGTGCTAGAAGGGAAGAATGTGTATATGTGTGTAAGTGTCTAAATATTGTTATTCTAATGGCAGCAGTCTAACTGGAGGGACAGGGTATCAGATCCCTGAGACTTTTTTGTAGGGCCAAGCAGTTTGACTCTTATCCTGAAGCTTCATGGGGATATGCCAGTGAGGCGAGGGTATGGCCAGGCTGTGGGTTGAATAGGTCCCACGGGCTGTGATATGGAAAAGAAGAAAAAGAAAGATGGGAGAAGGGCAGCTGGGGAAAGGGCATTCAGATCCCTCTCTTTTAAAAAATTTTCTAGAAGACATGTACACGCACTGGAGAGAGAGGTAGAGAGAGAGAGAGAGAGAGAGAATGAGAAAACATTCTTCCCCAATGGAGAATGCTTATGCCACAATCCCTTTTCCTCCATCTCTCTCTCTTTTGGGGTCTCTGGGCACATGTGCACACCTGCCTGGCATGTTTTTCTAGTCAACTTGTCAAGGACTTGAACCAAGCAGTTAGCTATGTGGGATCAAGTCACCTTAACTATCATGCCATGGGCTGTCTTATTAGGCCTCTCTTCATTAGCTCCATGGGTTCTTCACTAACATTATATCTATACTATGGAAAAAAGAATTGATCTCCTTCAAAGAATAATTAGAAAGCACCCCCACCCTCCATGTAGCATGGTCATGCAGCAATTCTTTGTCTTCGATCTCTCTCTCCTTTCAGGATTTTGGGCACACACACAGATGCACCAGGCGTATTTTCAAGCTGCCAGTTCCAGGATATGAACTATGTAGTAGGATTCAGCTGCCTTAATCAACAAGTCATCCTATACCCTAATCTTTATGTAGAGGTTATGCCCTCTTGGTTGAGGCTGGGGGCAGATCAAAGCCAACAAAGCCAACAACTGATTGTAGAACAAAGCTATTGCCCCTACAGCTACTCTCCACTGACTGTACTCATATGTAGAATGATACTCATTTTTTAAATCACTTTTTTAATTGCCAGAGGGTATGTGTGATTTCTAGAGAGAGACAGAGAGAGGGACAAAACACCCTGACAAGATTTTGGGAATACACACACACACACACAGGAATTTAGTATATTTTTCAAGCTACCAGGGCCAGGATTATGAACCATGGTTGGCAGTGTCAGATCCAGCCCTTCCTCCCCCACCCCCAAGCACTTGGCTATGGGGATGGCTAGAGAATGTTATTAATGAAGCAGTCATAGCATCACTGCAAGCTCTCTATATCTGAAGAAAGACATCTGCTCTTCAACATACGACAAGATTATTCTGGACAACTATTATTTTGAAAATTAACAACCATAACAGTGCCAGGGTAGCAATTCTGACAGATAATGCCAGGATGTGGAGCCCAGGAACAAGAGAACAATATGACCTATTTAGGATACGGTGAGTTATATAGAAAAGGCTCTGGAGACAGACTAACCCCACTATGGACAAGATATTAACCTCCTTACTTTGTCTGTAAATGGTATATATTTATACATCATGGAATTGCTTTTGAAGAATAAATGACAAGTTGGATGTAAAACATTTAATTCAGTGCCTGGCTTAAACAATGTTAACAAATGGAAAAACTAGAAGCATAACATAAAAATGCTTATTTAATGGCACCATAATTATGTTTGTCCCTGTAGGTATGATCAGATGGAAGGAAGCATATTTATGAGCATTCTTGGCATTTTTCATTCTCCCAAACTCTCCATATGTACCGTTTATCACCATCAAGATGCAAGTGGGCACTGCCTCCCTAGCATTCTGTTTAGACTCTTTCCAGCGACTAGTATTCTTAATGACTATTCTAAACACTGAGTGTTCCTATTCCCATTGTGTAAACTAAGCTGCTGAGCTGTGAGC